ATAGAATAGAATAGAATAGAATAGAATAGAATAGAATAGAATAGAATGGAATGGAATGGAATGGAATGGAATGGAATGGGACGGGGCGGGACAGGATGGAAATGGAATAGAATAGAATAGAATAGAATAGAATAGAATAGAATAGAATAGAATAGGATGGGATGGGATGGGATGGGATGGGATGGGATGGGATGGGATGGGATGGGATGGGATGGGATGGGACGGGACAGGACAGAACGGGACAGGATGGGATGGAACGGAAATGGAATAGAATGGAATGGAATGGAATGGGATGGGATGGGACGGGGCGGAACAGAACGGAACGGAATGGAACGGAATGGAATAGGGAATGGAATGGAATTAGAAATAGCATAGAATAGAATAGAATAGAATAGAATAGAATAGAATAGAATAGAATAGAATAGAACAGAACAGAATAGAATAGAATAGAATAGAATGGAATGGAATGGAATAGAATAGAAGGGACCTTGGAGGTCTTCTAGTCCAACCCCCTGCTGAGGCAGGAAACCCTACACCACTTCAGACAAATGGTTATCCAACATCTTTTTTTAAAACTTCCAGTGTTGAAGCATTTACAGCTTCTGGAGGCAAGTTGTTCCACTGATTAATGTCAGGAAATTCCTCCTTAGCTCTAAGTTGCTTCTCTCCTTGATTAGTTTCCATCCGTTGCTTCTTGTCCTTCCTTCAGGTGCTTTGGAGAATAGCTTGACCCCTTCTTCTTTGGGGCAGCCCCTGAGATATTGGAACACTCTCATGTCTCCCCTAGTTCCCAGTTCTCCTAGTTCTTCTTTTCATTAGATTAGACATACCCAGTTCCTACAACCGTTCTTTGTATGTTTTAGTCTCCAGTCCCCTAATCTTCTTTGTTGCTTTTCTCTGCACTCTTTCTAGAGTCTCTACATCTTTTTTTACATTGGGGTGACCAAAACGGGATGCAGTATTCCAAGTATGGCCTTAACAAAGCATGATAGAGTGGTATTAACCAGTGGTGGGATTCAAATTTTTTTGACTACTGGTTCTTGGGTGGGATTGGCCAGTTCTCCGAACTACCCAAAACTTCCACTACTAGTTCTCCAGAACTGGTCAGAACCTGCTGAATACCCACCCCTGGTATTAACACTTCATGTGATCTTGATTCTATCCCTTTGTTTATGCTCCAAAATTGGCAGATCCAGAAGAACTTCAAAAAAGAGGCTCCAGGATAAGAATTAGCTCCCTTTTTCATAGCCTCTTTTCCTCTTCTATATGATAATTAGGGTGCTCCACCGGCTATCCCAAAATCTAATTGGTCATGCCCAAAAACTTTAATCTTAGATTGTCTACCATTGACCTCACCCCCTTCCTAAGAGGCCTGTAGTGGGGCGTGCATAAGCGCACCAATCGTGCCTACCGTCCCTGTCCTATTGTTTTTTTTATTTTTCTTATAAGTATCTAATGTATTCAAAACTATATTTATTCTTACACCTGTACCTTGTAAGCGATTGACAAATCAAATCAAAAGTAAAATGTAAACGTCCCTAGACATGCCCTGCTGGGTAATTCTGGGAGTTGAAGTCCACACACCTCGAAGTCTTCAAAGTTGAGAAACACTGCCTGAGACAGCTACATCTGTCGGCTTTGCAGGTACAGTAGGAAGATAACAAAGAAGAGAAATTCTGCCACCCTTCCCTTCTTGGAAGAAGGGTAAAAATAAACGACTAGCTAGTCCTCCAAGCTAGCTCGTCTAAGGGATATGGTGGCTCAATGGCTAAGACGCTGAGGTTGTCGATCAGAAAGATTGGCAGTTCGGCGGTTCAAATCCCTAGCACCGCATAACGGAGCGAGCTTCCGTTACTTGTCCCAGCTTCTGCCAACCTAGCAGTTTGAAAGCACGTAAAAAAGGCAAGTGGAAAAATAGGGACCCCTTTGGTGGGAAGGGAACAGCGTTCCATGCACCTTCGGCATTTAGTCATGCTGGACGCATGACCATGGAGACGTCTTCGGACAGCGCTGGCTCTTCGGCTTTGTAACAGAGATGAACGCCACCCCCTAGAGCCAGAAACGACTAGCACGGATATGAGAGGGGAACCTTTACCTTTAGTTTTCTATACTGATGATAGCTTTGTGGGAGAAAAGAAAGGTGAGTAGATGCAGCATCACCCCTAAATATGGGGTTTTTGGCAGTTCGTTGGACTAAGAAATCATGACTCCTTCCTGTGTCTGGATTCACCCATCTGAAGACCAAACAAAACACATCTATTTCTCCCAGCATTGCCCAGGGGTTCTTGTCTAAAGAATCCTTGATATATGAAGTTTCTATAAACAAAAAACAAAAAAAACCCAGCTTGCCAGAATCGTTAGGGAATTGCCACCAGGTTTGGAACAAGCCAATCCAGTGTTATCTTGCTTTCTATATCTCAGGTCAAATTCTTTCCAGAGTTTCACTTGGGAATCACTGGATCCTTTCCTGAACAATTCAAGCACAGGATGGGCAGGGTTTGAGTTCCTTTAGAGAATGGGAAGTTAGATTCTATGCTTCCAACGACACCTTCCAGCCATAAATTCCTGGAGATTCCATTATCAAACATGGAACAGATACCACATTTCCAGCACACCTTTAATCTTGAACGAGATCGCCAACAAGAGAGTTTTCATGACATTGCCTGTAAACGTCACAGCAATGATGTTTAGGTATTTAGGTATTTCTGGGGGGGATGCAACTGTTCTTCTTAGACTTGCCACCATCCGAGTATTTTATATCTAAAGTTTCAAGGGACCCCCTTTGCTTTCCCCTTTTCGCTCATTAACCGGAGGTCGAGCTCCCGGAGTTGGCTGAGGAACCCCGTGTTTGGGCAGACCCCTCTATGTTCTCGCACCAACTTTAAAGCCTCCACGAGGTTCTTGTTTTCGTAGATCATCAAGAAAGCCAGCACCAGGGTTGCTGAGCGGCTTATCCCCATGGCACAGTGCACCAATACTTTCCCTGCAAAAAAAAGAAAGCCACAACTGTCAACTTGTAAAACATTCCTATGCCGGTTTCCAAGTGGGCATAAGAAACGGGGGGGGGGGGCAACCCTGAAGGAGCATACGGCAAATGAGCTCAGAAGCACATTTCAAGCTTATCTCGCAAAGCTTGTAACTGAGGCAACCGGATATACAGGGCTCAAAAATCCTCCATTGGAGAACATGATTTATGACAACCAGCCCATGAATGTGTTCCGTTGGACAATCTGAATTATGATACACCCAGAGGGGTGGGAGGAAAACAGGGTCACAGGTGATTGTAAATTACGTCTCTCAGAGTTGGCTTCATACAGGTCATGCCAGCATGTCACTCCTAATAAATCCTTTGAAGTTTTTTAAAGTTTGGCTCGAGGCTCATGATTTAATTAGGGCAATCGCTGGAATACTGACAGCAAGCAAATTTTCCTTGTTAATCAATGTCACCAGGTCCCTGGGTCCCGGCCTCTCCAATCACTCCCCAACAACAACATTATGATATTGGAAGCCACGTTTTACTTGGAAGCTTCGAGGCTGTCACATTTTGTGCCTGGGAATTTGGGAGGGGGGATTTTGTGGAGAGGTGGAAGATTAGACTCAGCAACATTCTTTCTCAGAAAGTCAAGGACATGTTACCCTGCACCTGGATGGGAGTGTCTGGAGGAAGGTCTCTAATTGGGACGATGTTTTATTGGACCATGTGATGGTCTGGTGGGTGCATGGGATGGATCTTTGATTTTCAGTTGGGAAAATTCAGGGGAAACACAGAACTCTCAAATTTGGGTTTTCCCAGAAGTGCCAATAAGTAAAGGTTCCCTTCGCACATACGTGATAGTCGTTTCCAGCTCTAGGGAGTGGTGCTCATCTCCATTACAAAGCCAAAGAGCCAGCACTGTCCAAAGATGTCTCCATGTTCATGTGGCCGGCATGACTAAATACCAAAGGCACACAGAATGCTGATGCATTTTTTTTACATGCTTTCGAATTGCTAGGTTGGCAGAAGCTGGGACAAGGAACGGGCGCTCACTCCGTGATGCGGCACTAGGGATTCGAACCGCTGACTTGCCGACCTTTCTGATTGACAAGCTCAGCGTCTTAGCCACTGAGCCACCGCGACCAATATGACAACTCTAATAAACAAAATGAAACTTTGAGAAAATGCTTGTCTGGTTTGGAGTTTGTTAGTTGGAACACTGACAGATATACTCATACAAAGAGGCAATACAAGGTCTTCCTAGAATGGTGGAACATGTTATAAATCTGTGTCATAATCCTTTTTTTTTTTTTTTAACATGGTCACCTCAGTCAAAGTCATCTGTTCTGTGCTAATAAATAATGATGACATCTGGAGAGTTATTGGAATAGTTCTGTCACCTATTAATGTTAGTCATCCGTTCAAGGCTTAAGACTCACTAATACGCGCATTCAGCTGACGTAGCTCTCATTCATAGCAGAGGACAGAATGAAAATGCTTCAGCAATTTCTCATTCTCCTCCATTTCTTCTTACTTCTACACATCTTCTCATCTATACTTCAACTTCTCTTTTTCCTTCTGGTCTTGGGTAGATATCCTGTATATTGAATTTATTTAATTTCCCTAACAGAATAATAGACTTGGAAGGGACCTAGTCCCAAACCCCTGCCTAGGCAGGAGACCCTACGCCACTTCAGACAAATGGTTCTCCAACAACTTTTAAAAAACTTCCAGTGTTGGAGGATTCACAAGTTCTGGAGGCAAGTTGTTCCACTGATTAATTGCTCTCACTGTCAGGAAATTCTTCCTTAGTTCTAAGTTGTTTCTCTCCTTCGTTAGTTTCCATCTGTTGCTTCTTGACCTGCCTTCTGGTGCTTTGGAGAATAGCTTGACTCCCTCTTCTTTGTGGCAGCCCCTGAGATATTGGAACGTTGTTATCATGTCACCCCTAGTCCTACTTTTCATCGAACTAGACCAGTGGTGGCTAACCTTTTTGGGCTCCTGTGCCAAAAATTGTGCGTGTGCTTGCACGCTCTTGCTTGTGTGCAAGACACCCAGAAGGCAATACATGCCTGCCCACACCCTCTACGCATGCACGCACAATCCCTGCCCACCTGCCACTGCCTCCCCCTTACCTGCACTGCGCCTCACAGCTGGTTTGAGGCCTTTCTCGGCCTCCCAGAGGCTTCGGGAAGGCTTCTGCAGGCTTTGCAGGCCAAAAACTAGGCCCGTCTCATCATTTCCGCTATTTTTGGAAAAACAGGAAGGGAAGAAATGGGCCTAATTTTTGGCCCGCAGAAGCCTTCCTCAAGCCTCTGCGAGGCCAAAAAAAAGGTCTCAAACCAGCTGAAAATCAGCCATGAGGTGCACGCTTGCATGGTGAGGTAAGTTTGCCCTGCAGCTTGCGTGCTGGCACAAATGGCTCTGTGCACCACCCCTGGCACGCGTGCCATAGGTTCACCATCACGGAACTGGACATACCCAATTCCAGTGTTCTCTATATATTCTAGCTTCCAGTCCCCTAACCATCTTTGTTGCTCTTCCCTGTTACTCCTTCTCCTAAGGCAGTTTCTACGGTGCTCCCAGAGAGTCTTTCTTTCATAGTTCCCAGGCTGTGCATATTTCCCTACTAATGACTGATCACCTTTTCACAGCAACACCAAGCAATCCTTGAAGTAACAGAAATAGCAATAGCGCTTGGACTTATATATTGCTTCACAGTGCGTTACAGCCCATGAAGCGGTTTACTGAGTCAGCCTCTTGCCTTCCCAACAATCTGGGTCCTCATTTTAATGGCCATGGAAGGATGAGTTAACCTTGAGCTGGTGAGAATTGAACTCCTGGCTGTGGGCAGTCAGCCTGCAATACTATATTAACCACTGTGCCACTACAGCTTGCTTGCTTGCTTGCTTCCTTCCTTCCTTCCTTCTTTCCTTCCCAAGCAATAGTACTTATATACTGCTTCACAGTGCTTTACCTCTCTAAGTGGTTTACAGAGTCAGCCTCTTGCCCCCAACAATCTGGACCCTCATTTTACCCAACTCGGAAGGATGGAAGGCTGAGTTCAACCTTGAATAGAATAATTCAAGAAAAATTATACTGTTACTTTTGACCCAAGGCTGGCTGGAAGATGCTATGTCATTTCAGCAATGGCCTGCAAACCTCCTTAGTGTTAACAACAGCTAATATAAGATACATTAGAAAAATTATCTTCTGTCCAATGTTTAATGAATAAATACAGGCCTTCGAGCTCTGTAGACTAACTTTATAACCTACCATGTAAGGCAAGGTCCAGTGTAACAAGACTTTAAATAATTTAAAAGTGGTCCTCAACATTGCTATCATTTCCTGGTTAACTGGTTCTGTTTTGCAGATGTAGAACAAACAAACGCAAGCTAGAAATCGGAACTTACTAAATATAGAGGAAACAAAAAGTGAATACTGAAATAATGTAATAAAAGCACAAACAATGTTAGTGGAACAATTAGTGGGATGCCTTACCTCCAGAAATCATGGATGCTCCAACACTGGAAGTTTTAAAGAAGAGATTGGATAACCATTTGTCTGAAATGGTGTAGGGTTTCCTGCTTGAGCAGGGGGCTGGACTAGAAGACCTCCAAGGTCCCTTCCAACTCTCTTATTCTGTTTTGTTCTGGATCATGCTGATAAGCAAAAGCACCACAATTTGACCAATTTCTACAAGCAATTGAGGGGAAAGGGGATAAGGACCTGACAATAGCGTACTATTGGAACATTTTTAAAAGATGAAGGATTGATTTTGGCTGCACAAGATCAAGCTATGCAATTAAGACCATGATTGAAAAACCATCAAATGATTCAAAGTGAAGATCTTGCAAAGAAGCAGAAGAAATAGTAGATGATAGACTCAGCTCTTGCAATAACATTGAACGAATGCAGAAACTGATCACAAACACCAATATAACACAGTCACCAAACGATTCAACTGGGATTTCGGTAAAAATGATCATGGACCAGTAAATGAAAAATTGATGGGAGCATATAGTGGAATGAGTAGTCCAAAATGACCTGGTTAAAATATTGTGGGGTTTCCTAATATTGTGGGCCACAATTAACTGTGGTTGAAAGGAAGAAAGAGTGGATAATTTATGTGGCAATACCAGATGATAGTATACTGCTCAAAAATATAAAGGGCACACTTAAACAACACAATGTAACTCCAAGTCAATCACACTTCTGTGAAATCAAACTGTCCACTTAGGTAGCAACACTGATTGACAATCAATTTCACATGCTGTTGTGCAAATGGAATAGACAACAGGTGGAAAGCAGAGGCAGTTAGCAAGACATCCCCAACAAAGGAGTGGTTCTGCAGGCGGTGACCACAGACCACTTCTCAGTTCCTATGCTTTCTGGCTGATGGTTTGGTCACTTTTGAATGCTGGCAGTGCTTTCACTCTAGTGGTAGCATGAGACGGAGTCTACAACCCACACAAAGGGCTCAGGTAGTGCAGCTCATCCAGGATGGCACATCAATGCGAGCTGTGGCAAGAAGGTTTGCTGTGTCTATCAGCGTAGTGTCCAGAGCATGGAGGTGCTACCAGGAGACAGGCCAGTATATCAGGAGACGTGGAGGAGGCCGTAGGAGGGCAACAAGCCAACATCAGGACCGCTACCTCCGCCTTTGTGCAAGGAGGGACAGGAGGAGCACTGCCAGAGCCCTGCAAAATGACCTTCAGCAGGCCACAAATTTGCATGTGGCTGCTCAAACGGTCAGAAACAGACTCCATGAGGGTGGTATGAGGGCCCGACGTCCACAGGTGGGGATTGTGCTTACAGCCCAACACCGTGCAGGATGTTTGGCATTTGCCAGAGAACACCAAGATTGGCAAATTCGCCACTGGCGCCCTGCGCTCTTCACAGATGAAAGCAGGTTCACACTGAGCACATGTGACAGACATGACAGGGTCTGGAGATGCCATGGAGAACGTTCTGCTGCCTGCAACATCCTCCAGCGTGACTGGTTTGGC